GGGTCTTCGTTTTCGTAGTACGAAAACAAAGATGGGTCTTCGTTTTCGTAGTGGGTCTTCGTTTTCGTAATTACGAAGACCCATCTTAGGTCTTCGGTCTTCGTTTTCGTAGGTCTTCGTTTTCGAAACACCCGAATTTGAATATTACATTTTCAATGTTTTTCTTATTGTAGCGAAATGTATTTTATTAAATAACTCTGCGAGTTTTCAACATTTTTCGTTCAAACTTGGTCAGATAGTAGAACTAGTCTAATGCTTTCATTGAAACCAATAAAAAAAATTTAGGCAAAATTAACACTCAAAGGTGTTCTGTAACCTTAAAAACTTCTATAGTGCATTTTCCATGACTAAATGATCAAATGCGCTTTACATTAATAACAGACAAACCGATTATCGAGTTTCTGTTCGCGAAGATTGTTACATTTAGGTTCAAGATACACGTTGCTAATATCAGTGTCATGATGAGAGCGAAATAAGGAGAGAAAGATGGCGAAAAACACAGCAATAGAAATACCGCGTTCGTTCTTCGTAATGTATTCTGCAGCTTTCAGCCAGCAAATAGCTTCGCTCAATTCAGTCTTTCCTGCAGAGTTTCAGTCTTTCATGGCTTTAATCCTCACATATCAAATCGTAGATGTGGTTTATTCAAATAATTGCGTGATCTGTTCATCTTATTAGTGCCTTACACGTTTTAGAATTTAACTCAAAACTAAAGCTTTTTTTGTCTTTTTTGAAACGTATTATTGGAGTATTGGCAAGTTCTACCATGCATTCAGAGATTTACAAACTAATGCTGAAATAATGCAAGGGAAAACAGTTTCATATATGCGTATATTCGTATATACCGTAATGAGTAACTTATAAGCCATCCTTTTTACGAAAACGACAAAACGTGGATGCTAAACAATTTTAACAATACTTTAATAATCTTTTATATTTTATAAATCCATTTTGAAAATATTCAATATATTGAATAATGCTCATTACATTTATACGACGAAATGTTTCTGGGCCTTGAATGGGTATATGACACGTACGCTGTACATACTAAGACCATCTATTTAATTCCTGTTTGCCAATACAGTAATAATGTACTTCAGTGTTTACAACATAGCCATAGGAAAATAACAACACGCTCAGGCGAATGCAACTAAGTTCAAATTTGGCAAATGTGCTACTGACTAGTACTGTTAATAATAACAATAGTAAACGTATTTCTTCTATAAACACGATAGTAAATTTATATCCTTTAATAGCTGATGTGGTGGTATAGACCTAAATACCATAAAAAAGATCTATATGTATAAGAGTACCTAACCAATTCAATTATTTTCAATTAATGACAATGCAATAAATAATTTTGTGAATGCTGCATCGGTAGAGACAAGTAGATTTTTAGTGGTCTTTATAATGAAATTAAACAGTTTGATTATAAAAAAATACACTGCATGTAGTTTATGCAAGCATGTACCGTATATCAGTTAAAAAAAAACAAGCTTGACAATACCAATAATTACAATAACCATCACGGTGATTACTTTTTAACAATGAGTGTAAGGATTAACACCGAAAATGCAAAATATGCATGGTGTGCTGTGAAGCGCACGATAAGTTCTATTGATCTACTGGGTGTCCCAAAAACCCCGAAAAACCATTGAAACAACGTATTGCTAAAATTTAAATACCCTAACACTAAGCTGAACGCAAAGATGCGTAAATATTGACAACGGTGCATATATTAAATATTGACTTATTAAGAAATTAAAATATACGATTTTCTGCTCTTGGGTATTTAAAACAGCTTCTTAAACTTTTTATATGCATAAAATTTACTTACATCAAGCTTTGATGCACGTGTGTATTCAGCAGAGTGCCGAGGCATTCAAATTCTAACAATACATTTATTTCAATAGTTTTCGTTTTCTTGGGATACCCTGTACTGTAAGCCCTTTCGATACATGTAATTGTAAATTTGTAAAGTGCTAAAGAAAAGGTGAAGTTTCTAAAGGGGGGAATTTTCCTAAAGGGGAGTTTCCTATGAATTTCGCGTGAAAACGTCGTTTTAAACAACAAAATTTCGTACGTACACAACACAAAAGCGAGCAAATGTATAACTCCTATAACTTGCAATATATACAAGAAATGTAACTTGCAATATATACAAGAACCTCAACGTTTCGAGCGAAACGAATTCGTATGGAAGTTGTTGTTAAAGTTTTTAGATTATTTGGTCCTACAGCTAGTCCCTCAAGATTATTATTCATCGCCACCTATACACTCAAGATTATACAATATGACATTTAATTCAGTAATTTAAATAATACGAAACTATTGGTAGATTACCATTTCCTGAAACATCTCGCGAAGGTCCTGTGTTAAGACTTGATGTACTTCCACTATGAACTGTCCAGTCAAAATCATCATTGGCACCATTTGTGAAGGAACACAGGTCACCTTGATCAAAGTTACATCTCCCTATAGGAGAGTAGAAAATAGTTTCCATAAGAAATGCTTGGCTTAAAAGTGTCGTAAATAAATCATTAAAGGGGTCCTAGAAACTGGGCTGTTAATATGGTACATTGTTGTCTAGAGGTATTGGACATAATATTAAGGCGAGACCTTTGAAAGATAAAAGGGCAAAAAATGCACATACACTGTCGTTACGATGCGTTTGACGTCGTAATACGTCATATAGACACGTTAGAAAGACAAAAGTGTGTATATAGACACGTTAGAAAGACAAAAGACGAATAAGCCACATTCTTGTCAAGAAATATTGGACGTCGTGATAAGTCCGTCTAATACATAACCTTGCTAAGGTAAGAGGACATGAGTAAGGTATATTTTTGTCAATATTTGCCAAGAGAAATTGGACGCCGTGACAAGTCGGTATAGCGACCTTGGAAAGATGCACATTCTGGTCGAGATATTGGACGTCATAAAAAGTCGGTATCGGAAACTTGGAAAGATTTAAGAATTCGAAACAATGAAGCACATTACTGTAGGTTGATATAAGGATCTTGGAAAGATAAAAGGATAATGTGACATGCACATCCTTATCAAGATCTATTGGAAATCGTTGTAGGAAGTTGGAATTAAGATAAAAGCAAAATACTCGCAACATTCTTGCGACAATACCTATTGGGCTATGTACCAATAATTATAGTGAATGTTCTTATATGTCAGCAAAGTGTCGTTGGAAACGTAAAAGAACAGTTATGCGCATTGCCTAAGAAATTAATGTATTGTTGTTCAGTACAATATATTTTGCTCCTGGTAAGTAAAAATTCAATCAATTGTGTTTCGCACTTTTGTGTTCAGGGCACTCTGGGTACGAGGATGTGTTCAGCGTAGTGCTTATAGCATTCGAATTATAACAATAAAGTTAATTTCTAAAGGTCTTCTTTAATACACCCTGTAGATGTATTTCGCATTGTAATAAGCTGGAATAGAACCTCGGACAGAAAAGGGTAGAGTGAAATTCGTTCATGTGATGTCATGCACGACGTATTAAATATCGTAGTAAACCGTTATATGGACCTAGAAAAGACAGAAGGGCAACGAGCCAAACAGTTCCTGCCATAAGCAACATTACACGTCGCAATAAGTCGGACAAAGGGCAGCGGAACACAACTCGGATTGCGATGATTATTGGTATACAAAATCACTTGGTTGTATTTAACTAAAAATTGGTAAAAGTGGTAGACCACTGCAGTACCTGCTTGTGTCGGAGGGTTTGTTGATGCTGTTGGAGGGTTTGTTGGTCGAGATGTTGATGGTGTTGGTGTTTGGAATGAGCAATTTCCTGGAGTGAAGCTGATTGCATCGATTGCAATGTCACCTTGAAAACTACGACCGCGAACACCTTCAAACTTAACCTTAAATATTTATACAAGAAATTGAATAATCAGTTTGTTTTTGGCTCTTCAAAAAAGTTATAACGAATTTTGTGGGCAAATAGAGCATTGGACTATATATCCTTTCGGGTTAGGTGCAAACCTATATTATGGATTCAAACCCAAGAAAAGAATGACCAAGGGTCCAAGGTTCGAACCGAGGTTTCCTCAGGGCCTCCTTCCCCCCCCCCGTTTTGAAATGAAATCGGTCAAAAAAGCCTCAAATATTGTGCCATTGTCTGTGTATATGGAAATGCTGCTTTCTTTACTCACCATATATCTTCCAAACTGTAAGATCGGCGTTTCCACACCCACCCATCGGTTTCCTTGATTTCCCGCTCTTGAGAATATCGTTTGGTTATTCGCATAGATGTTCAGTACTTCAATATCACCACCGTACATATGGTAATAAAATTTCATGCATTGTGGGCCGTTCAAGTAAGGTGTCAGAATTGTAGCTTTATCACCAAACTGTCGTGGACTTGAAGTTTCGATGTACAGATAAAAACCTGTAAAAATGCTTTCATTGACCAAACAAAATTAACTGTAACTACACAAAGTTGAACTTGAATCAACTGAAATCGCGCTACATTAAATATCCAGCCATGTTGCCCATTTTTTCAAGGTAGTCATCTTGTAACGTGAATCTGAGCGGCGACGGTATCTAGAATTCATGCTTCTTTCGGTGACACTAATCTGCATACTAGTCGTGTTTAAAAATCTAACGACGTTATTTTTAGTGTTCACAATAGAATAAGTTATTGTTAAGATCCTACCCAGACCTAATTGCGATGTACGCGGTAAATGAGCCTAGTCCCTAGGCCTCGATCTCAGTACACGCCTATTTCGCGCTTTTACATATTAATGAGGTGGTAAATGTCCAAACCAAATACTAAAGAAACCTGTCGTAACCTTAATCATATCCTTCACTGTTTCTAAAGCCTAAATTTTATTAAACAGTTTACCTCTGCCGCTGACGTCAGAACTTGGTCCTGTCCCACTACTGGTTGTTGGACCTCTATTAACCGCCCAATTAAATTGTCCAGCACCATTTTGATAACTGCAGGTATCTCCATTGTCAAAGTTACAATTGGCTAAAAAATT